ATTGGCTTCTTGCGTATTAGTTTCTGTCATTCCTTTCTCAGGTCTAGGTGAATTCGAGACCTTACCATTCTATGGTCACTGCATTGTACCTTGCCAACCACTTCCACATCCTGCACGATGCCTGGGTGTGCACTCATTATAAAGTCTATTTCGTTCTTATTTTCGCCATTAGGGCTCCTTCATGTCCACTTGCTGTTTCCTAGTTTTCGGTAGAAGGTATTTTAAATCCGTAAATTACTCCATTCTGCGAATTCTACTAGTGGCTCTCCTCTGGCGTTTCTTGTACCGATGCCATAATCTACTGCCTGGTCTCCAGCCTGCTTCTTCCCTACCTTTGCATTAAAGTCTCCCATCAGTATTGTATACTGTGTTTTTACCTTACTCATTGCCGATTCCACATCTTCATAGAAGCTTTCAACTGAAGCGTCATCATGGCTGGATGTAGGTGCGTAGGCTTGTACCACCTTCATCTTGTATCTCTTATTCAGTTTAATTAAGATACCTACCACCATTTCATTAATGTTATAGTATTCCTCTGTGTTGCCAGCTATGTTTCTGTGAATTAGGAACCCCACTCCCAGTTCTCTTCTGTCAGCCAAGCCCCGATAGCAATGAACGTGCCCATTCTGTAGCACCGTATAGGCCTCATCTGTCCTCCTAACCTCACTGAGCCCTATTATATCCCATTTAACACCCTCTATCTCCTCGAATTGTACAGCTAGACTTCCCTCACTAGATAAGGTTCTAGCGTTAAACGTTGCCAAGTTCAGGTTTCAATGGTCGCCTGTCCGGATCCAGAGATTCTTAGCACCCACTGCTGCGTTGCAGATCTGACCGCCGCCGTGGTCAGTTGCTTCACAGCTGCTGGGGACTGAGGACCGTGAGTTATTTGACGTTTGCATGTGGTAGGTTGCATGTGGGAAGTTTTATAAGACACGCACATTATGATTATCGTCGTCAATTCACGTCACAAGACACGAAATTTGTTATATGTGGAACTATCGAAATGAACGCGAGCGCGTAATGAGCATAGCATTTATTCATGTTTTATATAACACGCGTAACATGACTATTATGTTTGGACGCATCATATAGGTTCTTCCTCTATTCACGTCACGTAATTCCAAATTTTGTGTATGTAGAGATTGCAAAACGGCCGCCCACGAGTTCATCATGAGCGTGGTATGTTGTGATGTTCTTACATGACACGGATGCCATGAATATCATGCTAGCACCAGTCATATACCATCGTCATTTATTGAAATCACGTAAGCTAGCGAAACGACCAAAAGCGCACTATGAGTATGGAATGTAGTAATTTTTTACATGACACGCACGTTATGGTTAATATCTTTGGACGTGCCATTTACCATCGCCATCTATTCACATTTCGTAATTACAATTTCCGTATCTGTGAACCTAGCGAATGACGGCGAGTGCACCATGAGCGTATCGTATAGTGATGAATTACATAACATACATGTCATAGCTTCGGTGATATAGTCTGTCACTTGACTTCTCCATGCATTCATGCCATACCATACCAATTTTGCAATACCTCATGAAAATAAAATCACCGCAAGAACAGCAAGATTATGAAATGTCAATCATAACATTCATGACAAACATGTCGAGATGTTCATGTCATGCTAGTGACTTATACTCTTCATACAGTCATGTTATGCCTTGCCAATTTCGGTGGCGCTACCGTTATTAAAACGGCCAGGAGAGCTGAAAGTCGTAGGTGGCTAGATAGATAGACGAATCCACTCGAAGTCGCCGAAGTTCACCAAGAAATGCCTCGCATTTAAAGTTGTGGGTCTGAGTCAAAATCAAAGCCGGGTTGTTTGCGTGGCACGTGGGTATTTTACAACACAGCCATGCCTCTGCTTGCGACTTCTGGAAAACTATTTTCATCTGCATAGAAATTCAGCGACAGTAATTTTCATGCTTTACAAATACACTTCCCTGTAAACAAGTTGCAGCATATACATTATGACATATACCCTTAACATTGCCTGTTACAAGCGTACGCTGCCATTGCGCGTCAGAAAAACGGAATTATCATAATATCCTCGTAGTTTAAAGCCAGTCACCTGCTACAAAAGGCACCCAAGCGACTGGACTCTTGAAGACACGCAGTGAGTACATAGCAAGTTCGAAAAAGCTTCATACTTTAAGTGCTTTAGTACGCACTGAAAGCACAGTATCGCTGTCCCGTTCACATTTTAAAGGCGAAGGTAAACAAGTTTCAGCATATACATTATGACATATACCCTTGACAATGCGTGTTACAAGCGTACGTTGCCATTGCGCGTCAGAAAAACAGATTATCATAATGTCCTCGTAGTGTAAAGCCAGTCACCTGCTACAAAAGACATCCAAGCGACTGGACCCTTGAAGACACGCAGTGAGTACATAGCAAGTTTGAAAAAGCTTCATACTTTAAGTGCTTTAGTACGCACTGAAAGCACAGTATCGCTGTCCCGTTCACATTTTAAAGGCGAAGGTTAACAGTCCTCAATATTGTTGCCTTCACAATCACCCGATCACATTGTAATAAACTAGTTGATGCCATATTCGCTATGCGAGAACTCATGTGATTTACGTGCTTGCTTCGTGAAAAACAACGCCGTAAATTTCTCTTCTCGACAGCCTTCTGACCGACGGGAAGGCATTGGTGCTCATATCAGGACTCTAACAGGGCTGCTTGCGACTTCTTCGGAACATCGGAAGAGTACTTTCTAATATCAAAACTCATAAGAAGCCGGCAGGCTCGTTTATTGGTAATTCAACCAATATGGTGTTTCAACCAATAAACCAATAAACCAAATAACGAGCTGCCACAGTCTCTGATAGGCAGAGGTTAGGACATTCTGCTTTCAAAAAGCCTATGCGGCGTGGGACGCTGGCTGCCTATTATCGATGCACGAAGCCAATGCACCAAAAACTGCACATTTACAGGTCCCTTGATTATCTCTTGGGACAAGAGGGTATTATCTCTTGGGACAAGAGGGTCTCACGAATGTGTCTGTATGTTTAGGGCGTTGGTTACAGCGCAATTGTCCAGAACCGAGCAGCCAGATTCATTGCTTCAGATTACTCCCGTTACTCCAGCATCTCCAACCTAAAAAACCAGTTAAAGCTTCCTACCCTCGCTTTTCGTCGTCATATTGCACGTTTGTGCCTTTTTCACAAATTCTTTCATTCAGCCACACGTGACAACCAGCTCATCCAACCAGTCCATCGAGGCCATCGCAGAAGTCATCCAAACGCTGTAATTCCGCCACGTGCTCACACCACATCATTTCAACAGTCATTCTTTTTGCGCACCGCCCGAGACTGGAATGACCTTCCGGAAGAGGCGGCTGTCATCCGGGATTCTGCGCGCTTCAGGAATGCCATACAAGCAGCAGACTCAACTGCATCTTAACCTTTACTTTTGATACCGCCTTTCATCGCCCACCCCTCATGTAAAGTTCCATACGGAACCTTTGAGGATATAATAAATAAAAAAAATAAAAAATAAAAAATAAAATTAAAGAGCCATGAGACTAAACGCAAGACAGGTTTTTTAAGCCAAGCGGGTCTGTTTGTCACCGTGTACAAATTAGGGAAAAAAGAGAACACAGTAAACTGAAGGTTCCGCAGTCTCCAAGGCAGCGGTTCGTAGCAAATCCAATGCACAATCAGGCGCTCAGGCAAGGACCCTAAATATGCAGATTAGGAAGAAGTATGATAAGAAACATCGAGAGACATTTGTGCAGCAACCAAGGGTTTACTTTTGTTATCGTTTTTGTTCATTTTTTTTACCAATATACGCAGTATAATTATGATTCTAAACATTAGAAAAAGTGGCATCAATGATTTCGATAGTAGATTTTGTGTGTACATGATCTATCTATCTATCTATCTATCTATCTATCTATATATCTATCTATATCTATCTATCTATCTATCTATCTATCTATCTATCTATCTATCTAGCCGCTTACTTGTGGGTGCTTTCGTTGTTATGGGAGGGTGTGGCGGTCTGCTGATCATGACCTGCTGGTTAAAACGTCAATAATGTCCCTCATCGCTTACGTCGACAAAGACCTCCCGCCAGACAGTGGCACGTACTCGTGGGCGGCTGCGCCACAGGCGATTGACAATTATTCATCCACCCAGAAATGACGAGCACAAACAAGGGTAGTTTTAACGCATGAACGTTAATAAAAACTTGATATCAGCAGCGTTCACCCGACAATTTCAAGGAATAAATATCAGGGTCTCAGCAGTAATCAAACCGAAGCATTGTTCTTGGCGATTAAGCATTTTACAACAGAGCTACGCCAGGTCTCGCAACTACTTTTCAAGTATACGCTAATCTTAGTGAAACGTCATTAGTGATTGGAGTGCTGCCTACGATATTTTTCATACATTACATAAGCACTTCTATGCTACATCTTTCTCACGAAGTTAACATGCACTGTAGTTAAGTACCATGCGCTGAAGTTGATTTATCTGGCAGTGTCCGAGGCTACCATCCTCATGAGTACCAGCGCTTCATATGTCCTTGTCACTTCTGGCCTCAATGCACAAGTGCAAAGAACTGGTTATATGAACATCACAAACTCTCTGAATATATCTGTGCGTGAAACAAAATACATATATTTATCGCCCTTCTTAGCGTATTGCAATAAATATTACAACAAGTTCATGTGGTCACATTCCTCCACATGTTTTACAAAACCTCGATTCCCAAGGTAGTTGGGATTTCCGAGTTTTTTTATATTCTACACCAAACCTCGTGTAAAACAATGCTGCCCTTTTTGAAGCTAGAGGCTTCAGCAAACTATTCCGTTCGGCATGTAGGTCAGCTTCAAAATATGATGAAATAGCGTGTACTAATATATCGTGACTGTGCCTTCCTTCTCCTTGTTTAACTGATTTGAGAATCCTTCGTTGGCACAGGCGCAACTGGTCTGAACTATATTTTGCCATGTGTTTGTTTGCAGACTTATCGCTATGTGGTCTCTATCTACACCATCACAAATACGAGTGCTTCGGCATGACGCTCATCATTTTTGTTCAATCAACCATCATTGTAAACCTCATGAGTTGGATTTGGCACAAGAGAGATGAGGAAACTTCATGTTGTACCAAATTTTGGACAATATTTCAGCTGGGAGTGCTGCGCAGGTGAGTGTTAGTATTTTCTCCAACAAATATTGTAGATGACATTTCTTCTCTGGAAGGTGGAGGCCGCTACTGGGTATGTAAAACAAGAACCAAAAGCGAAAAATGTGAATGAAACTATAATGCGAAACACAGAGCCACTCAGTTTTCTTCCCTTGTTGCTTATCATCATGATGTCATTGTATGACTCCTTAAGTGCGCATTGTATTCGCCAAGCTTTGAGCACCAGGTGGTCGAAATTCCCAGGGGCCTCCACTACGGCGTCTCTCATAATAATATGGTGGTTTAGGGGCATAAACCACACATATCAATCAAGCTTTGTCCAAGCACTGAGAACTTATGCACAAACCTGCGACACAGTGCCAAAAACTTAGTTCCTATAGTCTGTATAAGCAGGTGTATAAATCTAGAGACACTGACAAAAAGGAAAAACAAAAAAAAATCATCGACGAATGCGTTAATTATGATAGTGCCTATAAGCGAAAATTCACAGCACTGTTTAATTGCTTAGATTTTGCGATAAGTTAAGACAAACAACTTGAAGGAGACTTATATAAATGTTCAGTTACAATAAACTGTAAATTATTCACAAAACTCTCTCTCTCTCTCTCTCTTGTGAAACACGAGAGAGAGTCAGTCAGTCTTTTGTTGTAGTTAAGGAAGCTTAGGGGTCGGAAAAGTCATTGGCGGTATGTTTAATTTGAGGCATTGATGTTTCAATTTTAAAGACTAGGTTCTTGCGAGTGTTTTGCGAAGTCGCCGCATCAGTGGTATAGGCTACCATGAAGATAAACGGGTTGTTTTCTGCAAATGGGGTAAAAAAGCGATGCTTTTTTTCATGTCAACGATACAGTAACCCAGAACAAACATCGGTGTAGCTCGGTGTGTGGTTGATGCGAGCCGAAGTAGCTACACGACGTCTCCAGCGGAGCCATGTATATTCAAAACAATTTTATGCGGAAAATGGTATAATGCATTTTGGCGAATTCTTGTGTAGATTGTTAGGCTTGAAAGTTGAAAATCGCTGTAATTGTATCTGTGTGAGGTGGACCTGTGCGCCGGTCCCAATATCACTAGCGGCGGCGCGCCGGTGGTTCCACCTGTTGCGGGGGTGCGTCAACAGCACGGAGTTTCGGATCTGCAGTGGTGCGGCGGGGGTGTGGTGAAGTATATTCAAATTGAACAGTTGATGCAGATGAGAAGTTGTCTCTCGGAATATGGAGATTGGTGCCCTTATAGATCGAGTAAAGCAGGAAATGTGATAGCGTCACGTCTTAATGTCATAAGGAACTAAGGCTACCAGCTAACCCTTTTGAAAGCGATCTTGCGAAACTGCTAAAAGCAAGTTATGGGTATATGACCGTTACCAAAAAAAAACGTTCTCGTGTAATTACTAGTACCAGTGATCACAGCAAATAGTGGTGACAACACAGCGCGTAGAAGGAAATACAGATAGTACGCTGATGCCTGTCCAGAAAGTACGTGCGCCAGCACACACGACGACGCCATTATATTGTCAAAGTTTGCAGTTGCTGCTCAAGCCAAGCAGCCACCATGCGCCGGTGTCCGCTCACACTCCTCCGTGCAGTGAAACAGGACAGGACCTAATTTCCTGCTAAGGATCAAACGACGGCAGGCCACGCATGCACAGTGATAGGTTATTGCTTGCACTCTATGCAACGGAGATGGGCCCCTTGTCTCGTCGAGGCTTCAGATGTGGCCCTCGCTAGATCTAGCCAGCTTTTACTCGAAGGTCCAGTGTACGATGCGCGTACAAAAGGTAATGATTTGCCGTGTCGTATCATGACAGCGACGACGAAAAGCAGTACAAGGTAACTATACATTTGTTTTCGCAATAAAAAATTACAAAAACTTGCAAACCGCCTGTGCTCTCTTCCGAAGAGCTGCATCGTTTTCACTGTAAAGAGTTCGTCTGATCAAAAACTCCAGCAACCCAGCACTAAACGTTTAATTTGTTCGCACGTTCACTTGAATTCTTACAGGTGATATTTCGTCAACACTTGTTTTTTTTTTACAAAGCAAATTGGCAATGTGAGCCTATCACGTTAAGCCTATCACAATGACGCTCAGTCATTTCTACTTGCGCACTCAAAAACTCACAAAATGAAGCGAAATCAGGTTATCGCACACGATATTCATGCGAGCAGATGATAAACGGGTGGGCGAATGCATGTAAAGTTATGGTAAAAGACACTAGTATTTGTTGCATATGGAGCGATCGAGGGTATGTACGCTAATCACCATATGTGAATCACCGTTCTGGTTTCAAAAAAGTAATAAATAATTAAAAATAAATCAAAAGAGAAAACAAATAAAAAAACAAATAAAAATATAAACCAGACCTCCAACAAAAATCACAGGGAAGAAGAAACACACAGGGCACGAAACTTGCTCACGGATGTGTCTCTTTTTTCCTGGGTCCTGTGTTGAAGCGCTTTTTTTATATTTTCTGCCTCGAACCTCACCAAGTCACCCAATGTGCTTGTCTTCTTCAGATCACATTGGCTGAGGGTCACGCAAGTGTTCAAACTTTTGCTGTGTGGCAGAATCATGCGACCAACAAAGATACAGACAGCACAAAATATATGCGTACAATTATCAAAAGAGAGATCATTGTCAATAAATATGCACAACTTCCGACAAGCGGTGCCATACCAGAAGAAATTTCGCATCTGGGCTGCCTTCATTGTTTGTCTTCATTTTTCTTTTCCACTCCTCCTCTTTTTTTGTATGCGAAGCAGCTCTTTGAATAGCCTGCGTAACGCTGTCCGCCCGTGTCTCCGTGCCAGCGCCCCAGCACGCTCCCTCGCCAGTGTTGGGGCGGTGCCAAGTAGGCTGGGCCTTCCCTCGCAGTGTGCAGTGACGTCAATCTCTGCCTCGCATGCCACGCGCTCACCGCGTGTCACCTCTCTCTCGCTTCACCCTCTCCATCACTCGCCACATTGGAGCGCACATCGAGTGAACACTGTCGGCTTGTTTACAGTGATGGAAAGGACGATGGAACGCGAAGCTCCTTCGCCCGCGAAAACACGCGCCGTAGCGATTTTACCTAACCCGACCATCGCCGGCGTTGTGGGGGCAAGCAGAGATGATTGCGTTCGTGAATAATGGCGTCGCGCCTGCAACACCGAGAAGGCACGAATCAAGGAAGCCAAATTCAAGCGTCGACAGCGGAAGACTAAGGGCCAAACCTCATAAGCGCGAAAATGCACGTGACAGCGACAAGCGATGGGACGTAAATCGTCTTCGCGCGATTAGTCGCTAGCGCAGGCAAACCCCTTTCACGCGACGGCTTCTGTGAGCGAACTCCACTGTTGCTGGCATGAGGCCGTCTACTCGCACCAAGAAAACCGCGTAGTGAGCGGTATGCAATTTGAAAATAAGATATATTGTTGTGTAATGGAGCGGAAAGTGTTTATGAAGGCCTTGCAGCACTTTTTTTATATGCACATGCGTAAACATTGCGTTATTTCTTGTTGCGCATACGTGACTCGGGCAGGGTCACGAGCACCTACGTAGTCTTTGTCTTTTCCGGTTTTTCGCTATTGGCTGCTTGAGCCCAGCACTTCCGGGCGATGAGCGACGGCTTGCAAATCTGGAGAACCAAGCGATCGCGCGAAAACTACCCCGCGACATGTCGCGCGAACGCCCTGTTTCGTCGCTCATAGCATCGCTCTTCGCTGTCGCGTGCATTTTCGCGCTTATGAGGTTTGCTCTTAACGACACCGATGAGGCGCGACTAAAACACGCCGATTGCGTCCGCGCGCAACGCTGCTGCTTCGTACGCCATCATCCCGTCAGAGTTCTTTTTGGGAGCCTATGAAGCGCGATTGGGAAAATGTCGTAATTTTTCCCGTTTCCCTTTCTTTTCCTTTTTTCTCAATCTCGATTGTTTCTTCTTGTTTCATGCTTTAATTTTCCTCCCATTAGATCTGCCTAACTTTATTCTTATTGTTTCGTTTCTTTCTACTCTTCGCTTGCTTCCCTTTTATTCCATAATTCTTCTCGGTTTTGCCCGTGTTTCGTGAAGGGACGACAACCTATGACAGTCTCGATCCTAAATTGCCCCGCACCTATAATTCTCATCAAGACCTTGGAAAAACCACAGGAAGGAAACTTTTTCTAGGCTCGAGTGCGTGCTCAGTATACCACAGAAGACAATGCTCAATGTGGATTTGTCCATCTTACGCCAAGCAACGGCAGCATGCGATGTGAGGAAGTTAGATCCCGGGCCATTAAAGAACTATTATTATTTGTTTGGAGTTTACAACCTGAAACTACCACATGATTAAGAGAGACGCCGTAGTAGAGGGCTTTGGAAATTTCACCACATGGGGTTACTTACCGCGCACATAAGTATAGGCACACGGACCTCAAACCATTCCGCCTCCACCGAAACTACGGCCGGCATGGCCGGGATTTCATCCCGCAACTTGTCAAGGAGCATCCGTGTGACTGAATTACTAGACCACTATGGCAGGTCGCCTGAAGAAGTCTGCATTTAAAATACCTAAGCGAACCCAAGCAATTAAAAATACTCTCTAAGGCATCAGGGTGTTTAAAGGGTGTGTGGTTCATGCTTTTGGAGACTAATGCGGCTGCCACAATCATTAATCCCTTTTAAGGACTAACGGAACCGGGTCTAACAGTTAGTTTCCACAGACGAGCTGAAGAGACAAACATTTGGTCCTCACATTTTCATACTAAAGAGTAACCGTTTGTCCGCCAATTCACCCTAAAGGACTAACATTTAGTCCTCACACTTGCATCTAACAGGGCAAATGTTATTCCTACTTTTACACCTTACCGTACAATCGTTAGTCCTCACAGTTGCACCTTGTCGGACGAATGATTGATCCACTCTAATACTCCAATTGAATGAACTTTTTGTCCACAGTTTAAACATTGTTTTTTTTGTTTATTTTCCGCCAGGCCTAATACTTTTGTCGCCTGCTTTTCTGCGCAGTGAGCAACAAATTGCA